TAATAAAAACAATTGGTTTCTCGTATTCGAGTAACAGTAAGCCATTCGAGTGGTTGGTTCAAGCATTTTGCAAATATTGCCCGTTCAGTTTTTTTCGTTGGCTGGAAATGCTTGACGTGCATAGTTCTACGAGATTTTTTCCTTCTCGTCCCTCGGGTTGACCTGAATATCTCACGCGGAAAAAAATAATAATAAAACTGTCTAACCTCAAGAATGGATACAATTTTCTTCATAGTACGAAAAATTTTTCTGCGTTCATTATCGTCCACAAATTGAACATTTCGGAGATATTTCTCTCTTCTGACTCGATAAATATTTGCATAATTTCTGTATTAGAGACTATCTGCTACATAAAAATATGCCTTTATGCTGCTACAATTTCTAGGTTATGTTCGATTCAAACATACATCTTTTAATTTATCCAATCTCCCGTCGATAAATTTCCTTCATATTCCACTCGTAGAACAACCAAAAAAAAAACAAAAAAGGTAAAGAAAATTCACTCTGGTTCCTTGAGTAAGACTAACATAAATGAGGTAAGGGGAAATAAAGTAAAAACACCGAAATTCGACATCTTGTATATTCTTCTGGCTGGTTGAAGGAGGGTTTTTATGGAGGATCCTTCAAAGCCTTTCCTCCGCGTCCTTTTCGCCGTTCCAAGATGGTAACGATTCACCCTACATCCGCCCCCCCTCCCTCTCCTCTATTTTTCCTTCGAACCGTGCTTCCACCATTATTCGGATGCTCCACGTATCCTTCACGTCCTATGCACTTTGCAGCGGAGTCGTTCTCCTGGGACCGACTTGAAAACGAAAAGAAAAGCCAATTTATCCCCCTCGACCATATCTACCGGGTGTCGTATTAGTCGTCATTGCCTCCGCCATTTTTTTTTTTCTTTCCTTTAATGAAGCATTTTCGAAATTGGATTCCTTTTAGGACTGGATATTCCGACAAAAATTTGATTTTTAATATTTGAAATTCATCGCGAGTGAATAAAATGAAACATTTTCGAAATTGGATTCCTCTTAGGACTGGATATTCCGACAAAAATTTGATTTTTAATATTTGAAATTCATCGCGAGTGAATAATTCATGATACACGCACACAGGCATAACCTAAAAATTTTGGACGCGATGAATAAATTAATCGTACATCGGAATAGTTATAACCTTAAAAGTTTCATTTATTATACGGCGTAATGATATTTAAACGTGACCCGTATATTTATTGTGGATCAATAATTCATCGTAACCAGAATGTTTCATTGATAATGCAATAAATATGTAGCTTCGAATCGTACAATGGATCTGGGCATAATAATTACTCGAATTTTGTGTGGATCGGTATGAATAGATCTTTTTCAAAATTGATATTACGAATGGTCGAGACTTTTGTAATAAATTTATACACACCGTGGCGCAAACATCTCTCTCCGACAACCTACCTTGCGTTTATTATTGCAAACGAATTGTTTTTTCAAAATTAAACATCGTGTTAAACTTCATATAATATTTCTTAAGAAAAGGAGACCTATTCGAGTTTGTGGGAATACCCGTCAGAAAAAGAAGTCCAGCAAAGAGAGCAATCGAGGTTGAGGGATGAAAAGGCTGGTTTACAAGAAGGGAGAAGACGAAGAATTGCCGGAAGGGGGAATAAGGAACGAAGAAATCGTGTTCAGGTGGGCAGGTTAAAGAGCATCGAAGTGCGGCTTCCTTTCGGATCGATGAGGTCCACAGGTGCCAAGTCTGATCCGCGCAAGCGCCACTCTTGTATCCCCTTTTGTCCCCCCTCCACCCCAACCAGCCTCTTCACGGTTTTTCCTCCTCCCTTTCTCCCTTTCGCGAAGGATACACAGGGTGCTCCACGATTCGCGCATTTCACGCGTGCACGCTGCTTTTGTTTCACGTGCATGAGAACGAGCCTTAAAGGAGTGCTCGGAATCGAGTCAGAAATTGACCACCTTTATGATTTCTTCTCTGAAAAAACTGTTGGGTATTTTAATTTTAAATTTGGCAGGTGAATTCAGCTATCTACAGGGAAGATTGGAGAATTTATTGGGGAAAAAATAGAGTGTGATAGAAATGTTACAGGTTATGAGATACGCTGGACTATGGGATAAAGAGATGAGGATGCTTCTGAATTTTTTTTCTAAGGGATTACTAGGTTTTTCAATGTGTAATTTGGTACATGTATTTGCTTATCTCCTGGGAATGCATGAGAATTGTTTCGTGGAAAAATATTCATTAGGAAAACAGTTAGAGTATAAAATATGCGAAGGATTGTTTTTTCAAAGAGTTCTGCGTCGACTTTCGTTTCTTATCGTAAAAGAACTGCTAGGGATATTTTCATATTTCGTACCGCGTATATTAGAGGAACGTCTGTAGTATATATACGTAAAACTTTGAGTCAATCGATCGATTAATTTTCGAGATATCATTTCTGCCATCTTCGCAAGTCTAACCTCAAAATAACTTCTTTCGTATTTTGAATTTCTTTACAAAATTTTACGCAGTTATTTTAAACATGGTGTACTTTCAGGACGCGTAACAACAAAATTAATATAACTTTTGTACCCAAGTTGAGCAGACCTAACCTAACTCTTTCAGGTCCAGCTTCGATATAAGCTTCCCAATACGGGAAACTTTCATAATATCGATCATGCTGCACCTCCGGCGGACAATACATCATGCTGATGATCGATCCTATCGAATCCATGGGATTTCCAGGGTGGATTGTTCCTTTTATTCTATCGAGCGTGTCCAGCACGGCATTGTTCGATCGTACAGCCTTCTAGTTCCTCAGGATGAAGTTCGAAAGCCCCGGAACTAACGCCATTGTCGGTAGTTACACCGGTGATCGATGCTTCCCGTTCTTCCATATCCGTATCGACTTCCTACCTATTTCTTTCTTACGACTAGGTGGTCTGATTGCAACTTGGAACGTATTTCTTTATACTTTTTTTTTTCAATTTCAATAAGATTTGTCAGACTCCCTCGTTGTCAAATTTTTATTTTCATTCGCGTTTTCCAGTGGTGTAAAATTTTCAAAGGTGTCTTCAGCGTTGGGTAACGGAAGATATCTTTAGAATTATATATTTTTTAGGTGTTAGAAGAAACTTGATGCTTAATATTGAATAATAAATAGTTCCATTTAGGGTGTAGTAAAAAACATTTTTTCCGTGCAATTTTGCCATTTCATATACACCGGAAGTAGTCGTGTTGCACATTCAACGAGCGTAATTTCCTCAATTACAACAACGAAATAGAATGCAGCGAAATTATTGAGAATTTTTAATCTCATAATTAATCCCTTCTAACTGCCCTTTACATTTACAATTTACAACATTTGTCCAATCTCAAAATCGACCAATCTCTCCACTTGTTCATTCATGTCCTTCAGTTACCCTTAAACTCCGTATCTAATTTCCAATACCTGTACACCCTGCTAATTATTCATTTCACGTTTCGCCCCTGTTCAATTGCACAATTATAAATAGATTACAGCTGTTTACACTTGTGTTAAATGTGTAAACAACGAGGTTATTACACACGTTTAAAAAGAAAGGGAAAGAAATAAAGGAGAAAGGGAGAAGGAAAAAAAATACGAAGGAGAAAAGAATTCTTTCGCTAAAACGATTATCGTAACATCTCCGCGGATCGTTACAGCGTTTCAATCGCCATTGAGAAAAAAAGGGGGAAAAGGGTGAATCAACCGGGACACGTCTCGGTGGAACGAACGCGAAATGGGACGCAATAAAATCTATATCCAGGGAATGGATGCAAAACCGATCAGTCTGAGGGGCGAGAGGGTTGGGAGGGAGGATAAATAAAACAGCATACTGGAAGATGGTCAATCGCGATTGGAATGAACTGTGGAGAAAGAAGGCGGGGAATGGAGGGTGAAAAAATTGAAAGGTTGGAAATGCAGAAATTGATTCCCCTGCATTCCCTCGTTCCTTCCTGCGAAATCTCGACGCGGAGGTACACGTAAAGGAAATAATTCGGTATGAACTTGCCGCCATGCCGGAAATTGAGGTCGTTCCAATACGTTTCCGCCGGTTTGGCGACTTCTTACCTTCTGAGAAAGAAAATACCGCATTTCGTACACTCGCTGCTATTTCCTTTACAATTATTTATCCTGTTGAATTTTCCTTTCTCGCGGTTTTTCGTCTTAGATCAACGAGGTTAATTTAGGTTAAGTTTCAAGATTTCTTCTCACCTTCTAAGGAAGAAAATACCGTGTTCCTTAATTGGTAAACTTCTTTTTTAGAACTTTTTCTGTTTTTGAATTATTTCCTCTTCTCTTTTTAATTTATTCGTTCTCGTTCTGTGAGATTTGGTTAGGTCAGGTTTGGCGGACCCGAACTACGTTATCCCGCTATGATTTTTCTTTACAAACATCGTTTATATTCTTTCTGGAACATTGTAAATTGAAATTTGTGAATTTCGCATTTGCTCGAGGTACTAAAAAAAATTGCTATTGATCGTGAAATGAGATTTTAGGGAATGTGGAAACGTTGCAAGCGTGCTGTGGAGCAAAAGTAGCTGAAGAAAAATTTGTGTCCCCGGTCTTGTTAGCCAGAGGCGAAAATTGGGTTTCGTTAATTAGCATGCGCCACCTCTCGAGGACTTCCGGTACCATCAATCGCCAGTATCTTTTTATTAACACGCGTTAAAAAGACCAATAAGAATTTTCATGCCAATTCTACAATCGTTTCGATCTTCCAAAACAAGAAAAAATGAAATAAATTAAAATTCACACTCAACCCACGGAAAAATGACACAGAAGATAAATCAACGTGGAAATTGTGTAATATAAATTTGAACTTTTGGAAAAATTAAAAATACATCCTTACCTGTATAATGTATAACATTACAATTCAAATAAAAAATGTTGTCCTTACTTCTACTTATCTGAAAATGAAAAAAATTGTGATTTTAGAAAAGTTGACGTGCTTCGTCGAATGTAAGTGAATTTTTTCAAATTTTTCATGTTCCAGGTCGACCACCAGACTTCGTGGCGTTCATCATCACCATACTAATGATGTTGCTGATGGCAGCGGGCGTGAAGAAGTCACTGGTGTTCAATAACGTGTTAAACGCCATCAACCTCGCCGTCTGGGTGTTCGTGATGACGGCTGGGATGTTCTACGTGGACGGCGACAACTGGAATGGCGAGGGCAAGAGCTTCCTTCCCTACGGCTGGAGTGGTGTAAGTCCCAAATAACTAACTGTATTCATTTTTACATATCATCGATAAATCAAAAATTCCGGAAAATATTTTTAGCTTCCAATAATAGGCACTGGAAGTCGTTGGAAATTGATTAATCAGTTTCTAAGCTGGAAGTGGAACAGTTAACATTTTTCTAAATATTTGATTCTTAAATTTTTTTAAACATTTACAGTGATTTGTACAATTTTTAAAACTTTACTTTAAACGTTCACAACTCTCAGTATCCTTACTGTCAATTATTAATTTGCAAATTGAATCTTTAATTTCTAACTCTCATTCTCAGTGGTCCGTGAATTAGTTTTTACCTCGAAATTCAACATTTTAAGCTACTAAATAAATCAGGAATTTTTATGTAAGGTAATCATGAACGAGTACGCAAATTTTCTGTTAAGAATGTAATATTTGCCGCGTATTACTTCAATTTCCCAGAAATCCCTTGAAACCCGCCATCTTGTTCATTTAATCTTCCCACCAATCAGCAGTCGCCATTGTTTCCTTGGAAAGCGCGCCAAAGTTGAAACCTAACCTCAACTACTCTGAAGTATTCAAAAATTTCCCGTAAAAACTTGGACAAAGAATATTGAGAAATGAAAGTACTTTGTAACAAATAGCAAAAAAGCTGATAACTATGGCGAATTTGAAAGGAGGGCTTTCTCAGCTGGCTGTTGCACTGGCTGAATAGCGCTTTATGTTCGTGGTTCTCGGAACAATGGCAAACTTGTTGCGTCGAATGGGTTTGAACGGCGAAACAGAGAGGTGCATCAGGTGGACAACGGTGAAAGGGAATTGGAATTCACGATCCGCAGGAATCCACGTTCTTCGGGAGACGTGGGAACCACCTGGGGGCCGAATCTACGGGACAGTACTGAATTATTAGGTTTTCGAGGGAATTACGTGCATTCGAAACGGTTCCTTTATTACGTAATCTTGAAAAAGTACGATTTCTACTTTTCTTTTAATTTAAAAATTCTTTTTAGGCGCAGGAAACACAATCTGAAAATTTAAAAAATCGTAGAAAACGTAAAAATCGAAAAGTGTCAATTTTTAACAATTATTTAAAAAACTATTTTACAGCAATACATATCGAAATTCAAAAAGATTGACGTACATGTGAAAATCAAGAAGGATTAATGTTTTCAAAATTATTCCGAAGTCTAGCTTTAAAAATCAATTTTTAATTACATGCTGTGTAAATAGTTGCAGAAATATATTTCAAAAATGTTGTTGTTTAGAACTTTTTGTTTTTCTGACGGATCAATGTGCCTAACTTTATAAAGAAAGTTGTTTTACCTCCCTCCATTTTGTTACTGAAATGTCGGTTCACGTTTCAGCAACTATCTCGAAAAGTTCATCGGTGTGTTGATTATTTTGCAAAATAGTACCTTGAAGTTGCACGGAAACCGGAAAACGTTTCCGCGAATGGGGTTGGTAGTGGCGGGTAGGTGTTTGCGAATGAAACAGGGGCGGAGTGGCGGGAAAATGGACCATGAGAACGAAGAAATATTATTCATGATATTAAATATTCCGGGTGCAGTGTAGTTTTTTCCGAAAGGAGTGCTGCCAGCGTCGAAGAGATGAAACGGGCAAATATTGGAATATTCATTTTCTACCGGGTGGAAGAATAAACGGCGGTCACAGTTTTAATTTTATCGCCTTGAAATTCCCTCTTCCTCGAGGTGGGAATACCTCCCACTCCTTAATTCTACAGTAAAATGAGATAAAACAATTCATTCGGAGGTGTTTGCTCGGTGTATTTTATCCAGACTTTCACTCGATGTCGGTTTCTAAGGAAGAAAAATTTCTCTCGATCGTTTAAGCATTTATGCATGCGACACTTTCCCCTTCAGCCCCCTCAGCAATCCTCTTCGCATGTTTATCGACGATGGACGATGAATATTTCCGCGTGGGAGATCTCATCCTTTCCTCGAAACGTGAATTTTTCATCGTCACGTTTTCACCTTGTGTTATTTCCTTCCTGAACACCCTATTCCTGCCACGAAAAGACTGCCCTATTTTCGCGTTGGAAGTTTCTCTTGAAATTGGGTCAAAAATTGGCGATAATTTCTTTCTTTTCCCAAGGAATCTATCATTTACAATTTAATTTATAAGTTATTCAATATACAGAATACACGATTTTGGTGTTGGTGGACAAAATTTGAAAATGTGACTATAGCCACAAGTACAGTAGACTAGTATGCAGGGCTTCTCTGCACGATGAGTTGCCTGATCTCAGGCGGTCTTGGGTCAATTTTTCAAACACTGATAACGCAACAACGAAACCTCGATTGAAATTTTTTTGTTCTTGTTTTTCTTTCTATCCTGTTACCTAGAATCGCTCTGTAAAATTTCTTCCATCATTTACCAAGCACTTCACATTTATTTCATCGTCAAAGAACTTTTTTATACATATTTTTGTTTTATCCTTTAGAAGATTCGAAATTAATGTTTACTCTATCCTGTCACTTTTATCGACAAAGAGCAATTAACGTCTCATAGACACGAAGAATTAAAGGATTACCCCCGACACCATATTTGACCTTAGGATACCGCGTGGGTTTTCCAGAGGCGGCTCTTGAATCTGTAGTGACCTTATCCAAGCAGCCCCCACGCACGCAGGAAACAGAGGTCAAAGTTTAGCGACAGCAGACTCGTTTATGATAACGAGGCGGTTAATATTAATGCGTTCTAACCACCTTTGATCTAACTTTGTCACGTAATTTCGATTAATTGCACGAAATGGGGGCATAAAGGGATTCTTTTGCCTATATCTCCGTTAAAAGACGTAACCTTGTTTGGGTGGCTGTTTGAAAATACGACGAAACGAGGAGATAAGGTTAACAATCAGCTGGCGCAGTTCCACTAATACGAAACAATAATTCTAACGAATTGGAATTCTCTAATGTACAAAAGGCTCTAAGTTAGAGGAGTTATAACGCTTCTAGGCATGTTCGAGGATGCTGGAAGGGTTGCAGGCATCCTGGAATGTAGTTTATCGAAGGTGGAGCGGAATTCTAACCCCCTGTGGTATGGCAACTATTTAACGATTATCTTTAGACACTTTTGGAATAAAAAAAAAAATTAATTTTCCAGCAATGTTTAATTATTTACAATTTTATTCGAGCCCTCTAACTTTATAATTATTATTTTATCGAGATTGGAAAGGAATTGGATGTTTTTTTTTAGTATAGTTAATAGTCGCCCCTAATCACGATTCCCTTATCATTTCTCCCGAATCCCTGTGTAAAAAAAGTTCTATTTTAATTGTTCAAACTTTTTTTCAAACGATATCCAATCATGTCAACGTCTATGAATCTTCCTGAACAAATGACACAATAAATTCCCTCCCTTCCTATCAAAGAGTAACAAACAAAAATTACAAAAATAGTGGAAAAATGGTTGAAGGGCGTGGCTTTTGTTGCACAAGTGGCCTGTTCCTTTTTAATCCGGTCGTTCGCGTCCGAGTAAAAAGTAATTCAACGCAACGTGGTCCCCCTCTGCCGCGTTTTTAACGAGCTGGAAACCATTCTGCACGGTGCGTGGGCGGGGTTGTGAATGCATGGGTGTTTGTGAACAGTGGGGGCGAAATACTACAGGGTCACGCAGAACAACTTTGAACATTCACAAGCTCTTCTCGTTTCAAAGGGACCCACATGTTCTACGGCGCAGGGGGAGAATGGTTAAAATTTCAACTTAGTTATTTTTCCACCCCTTTGAACAACTATGAACGCCACCTGCATAGATTGCCACCTTTTTCTCCATTGCCATTTAACGCGATAAATACGACAAAAGTTCACGTGTGGCACGCTTGAACAGATTCTAGAGAATTCTAGGGACTTTTGTCGGGTACAGGTTACCTTCGTTTGGATTTAATTCGCTTTTGTTACTCGTAAAGCTGTCCTGTTTTACTGCCCCCGTGGAAGTGGAAACGACGACAGTACTCAAGTCCCGTTCCCAATGAAATTCCATTAAGCATCCATTCTGGCCGCCATGAGAAACACGTAACGACGTTAAGGGACCTTAAAAAATTAAGTGACCGGTCTATGACATCCACCTGGAAGCTTTAAAGGGCTTCAAAGAACATCTTTATCAAGGGGGAATCTCATTTGACGATTTGCCTTCTCGCTACTCGCGATTCTAGGGACTTTAATGCCTCTCTGGAGTGGTTAAGACGGTGGCTGATATTAGAAAGACCTTCTTGTTTATCTTGACCCCTCCCGTTCCTTTCAATCCTGTCATTTCTCTTTTCGCGAGAAATTAATTTTTCAAATTTTGCTTCTTCCGTTATTCATCTTTCTTATGAGAGTTTTGAGGCTTTCACGGTCCGGTATGTTACAGTTTGTACTGTTTCAGGCTTTCGGGTGTAAGCCGTGTCCACTAGGATAGGTTTTCCAACGTCTCGCCAGCTACTAATTATATCGGGAAACTTATCTTTTTTGTCTGTATTACACTTTACCTAGATTTGTTTGAAAATATATTGTAAGTCGATGAAACTGTTGATAACGTGGTGCAAGAGAAGTCCTCATATCGAGACAAATTAAACGGCGAAGTACACTGAAGTAGTGGATAGAGATAGCGCCTACTATTCTAGCAACCAGGGTTCTATTCTATCCGAGTATACCCAAGAATTATTTTTTATCCTTAATTAAATTCTCGGAGAGCCTCGTTCGATTCTCCGGTTGTTCAATGTCAATTCCTCGTGTCTCGTGTTAATTTTCAACCATGCTGCACTGTTAATTTCCGAATTATGGACGTTGGAATTCCTTCAGAAGCTTCTCTGAGATAATTCCCTTGTCGAAAATGCGTGGAATTACTCCTGAAAAAATTCCGGCAATTCTAGAATTCATTTCAATTCTAGAAAAAATTGCACATAAGGTACCAGCAATTTTTGAAGCTTGGAATACGAAATGCCTTCGGAAAAATTCTGGGCATAATTTCTCAGTTTCGTTCAGAAAAGGATCCTGCTGATAATTTCTCAGTTCAACGGCATAAAATTAGACGCAACAACGACGATCATTCGTTCAATGACAGATGATTGTTTGTTCCAGGTGTTCACCGGTGCAGCGACGTGTTTTTACGCGTTCATCGGCTTCGATATAATAGCGACCACCGGCGAAGAGGCGACGAACCCCAAGAGGAGCATCCCCCTCGCTATAGTCACGTCGTTGATCATAATACTCCTCGCTTATGTCACCAGCAGCATGATGCTGACGTTGATCGGTGAGTAACTCTCTAATTTTTCATGAAAATGTAAAAGGTACAAAAAATCCTCGATACTCGAGAACTTTACACGAGACTAAATGGGAAAAAGGATATTCTACAGATCGCACGTGATCGTCTATCGACGTTCCGTAGTGAATGGCTAGCAGCTGACGGTGTTAAGGATACTTAAGTTTAGACCAGGTTTACGATACGGACGCGACTCTGCTATTTTTGAGATTAAGGTTTGAATACGCGTTTGCTAGTTATTCCTTATTGCCAGGAGGGCTCGAAACCTCTCATAAAAGCGGAGAATTTGGAGTTTCTTCGTGCATCTCAATAGCAATTGACGTATCATAAACCCGCGTGAGCTGAGGCACATGCGAGCGAGCGGGACCGTTACCCTGGGTTTTTCCCATAAGCCCAGGTGACGCGTACCTCATCCAGAAGACCCCTTCCCTAAGGGTGAGCGGTTGGCGTCGGGCGTCGACCAAGGCCCTAACTTGATTGGGAGTTTTGGCCCCCCACCCAAATCTCACCCCCGTCAAGAGACCCAAATGGACGGACAAGAACATATAAAAGGACTGAAGGGTGATAGACGAAAGGTGACATTGTTGTAAGAACAAATTGGTGAAATAGAACTCTGAACTCTTCTACGAACGATTACACGAACTTTGAACCTCAGGACATTGGACTCGCACATATTTAACATTTAAGAAAGTGTTGCAAAGAAAGAATTATTTGCTAAATAATCAAGCTTCACGGACATTGTGGGAGCCAACAGACGGTATTTAACGTATTTAACGACGCCAGTTCGATTATTAACAGGCAATTGGTGGCATTTCCAGCGATTACTCGCTCGAGCTCGGTCGTATGCCGAGCAAAAGGCCCTTGGCCATCCTTGACCTCCCTTCACGCATCCCTGACCACCCTTTCATCGTGTTACCCTCGTCACAGACACTCCATGCTTCATTATACTTCTAAATAACGATTACAATTGACGTTTCTAAATAAACCCATCTGTATACCCTTCTAGCAAACACTCTATCTACTAAAAGAAAAAAATCCCCATATAAAGATTCCGGAAGCCTCTACAACTGACAGAACGAATTTTTCCTCAGTTCCGTACGACGAAGTGGACCAGGACTCAGCGCTGGTGCAGATGTTCGGTCAGGTTGGGGCATATAAGTGCAAGTATATCGTGGCAGTTGGCGCTTTGGCTGGTTTGACGGTCTCCATGTTCGGCAGCATGTTCCCTATGCCTAGGATAGTCTACGCCATGGCCCAGGATGGCCTTATATTCAGGTGATTTTCATTACAAGTCGTCATCTTCCTTTTTCGAACGATGGAAGGTACTAGTCAGACATTCTCGTCTAATTATTTAGGACTCTGAGCCAGGTGTGGCCGGCAACAGGCACTCCAGCCATAGCAACGCTGACTTCCGGTGTTTGCGCGGCCCTGGCTGCCTTGTTGATCCAGTTAGAGGTGCTGGTAGAAATGATGTCCATCGGTGAGCATCAGATTCTTCATTTTGAACACTTTAACATAGATCGTTCTCACTTTGAATTCTCAGGCACTCTGTTAGCCTACACTCTGGTGTCCACCTGTGTGCTCATTCTGCGATACCAACCTCACTCTACCAACCTGGTAGAGCTTTTGCCTCCGAGCCTGAGAACACCCTGTAGATCACCCACCAAAGAGACTCAGGGAAATGGCCAGGTGACTTATGGCAAGGAGCTGAGACCTGACCAGCTGACCACTGCTCTGAACTCTGTCCAGGCTGCTCAGTCAGAGATCACAGCTTCCAACAGTGGCCAACGTATTATGGTAAAGACAGAAAATAAATCAAATTAGTAAAATTAAGTAGAGATAAATGAATGATCAGAGGTTACTATGATCGACGAGAGAAATGAGAATATTTTACTCCTTGTTCTAGGTGAGAAGAGTGAGGAGGTGCAACAGCTCATCCCCAGACTCTGACGATACCTACGGGGCAGAGGAGGACGAGGTTGGTCTGGGCAAGGACGATCAGTACCTGGTCAGCGATAGAACCGAGAATAAATTCTATGGTAGCGTACATGCAGCTGCGGCTGCCTCCAGTTGTGGCAGTGCACATCAATACCCAGGGAATACGCCAATAATAGGTCCACCCTTGAATTATCTTCAACGTCGACTACAGGTGAGCAATTTGCGGCTTGTTTACCCTGTCGTAGATTTAAGCTACTTGTTATCCAAGCTTCAGTATTTAATATTAGCTTAAACTACCGGAGTTTCTTGTATCTAGAACATCAGCATTTCTGGAAATGTGAAATTAATTCATCTTCTCTGATGAAAACAGGGAGGGAAGCCTATGGTTTTCAGCTGGGTCCGTTTAGTTGTTACCTGGTTCTCAGTATTTTTGAATATATTTTTTTCAGGCAGCACAGTACCTCTGTCCAGCTATCTTTCCCTGGGTAGACAGAGGTCCAGCAACAGAGGCATCTGGACGCTACGTGATGAAGCTGGTCGGTATTCTCTACCTACTAATCCTTATCTTCGATTTGATCATCGTTTGCGGTATGGGTAAGTCACCGCGAGATAAATACTTACCTTAAATTACCCTTCACATTTTTCTGACCTTTTCGATCGGTATCGATCATCTGACCAGTGGTATTGTTCATTTTTAGGAAATATGGGAACGTTCACCACCATAATGATGTTCGCCTTCCTGTTTGCCATTATTGGTGTGTTGCTTGCCATCAGTAGAAAGCCACAGAACAGGTACGTTTGAGTGTAGCGTATTTATTCAATGTGTCTTCGTTCAACACGTTTTTCTTCCTGGAATTGTTCAGGAACAGCATGATGTTCATGACTCCGGGACTGCCATTCGTTCCTGCGATTGCTGTCACCGTGAACATATACCTCATCTTCAAGCTGAGCATCCTGACACTCGTCAGATTCACTGTCTGGATGATTCTCGGTGAGAATAGTCAATAAGTACCCTGTCCAATTTCTGTTTTAATCATTTTCTTGCTTCTGAACTGTCAAATGTCAGTGTAGCAATTATCTTTTTCAATTTTTCCAACGTTCACTAATGGAAGACTCCTTCAGAGTGAGATTTTACGCAATTGCTCAAGCACCCTTTGCTTTCACAGTTAGGAAAGCAAATTTTTGTAGATAAATTGATACATTAACTTGGAGTGCTTGAATTGCAGATCCCCTCATGTATATTCACTGTGCTATCCATTTTTCAGTCTACTATTGCTAAGTCTTTTCACACATTTTATAGTCTCCAGACATAGAACAAGATCCTTTATCAGGTTTCCTTTCCCATTTACCATTTGTCCAAACAATAAACACCTTTCTTTACACAACCAATTCAAGCTAACCTGACTTAAAGTGTCACTACTTCAGATTCCCTTATGTTTCTCTACTGCGTTATAAATTTTCCCAGTTCTATTGCTATTATCACCATTGAAGAGCCTCAAGTTACTCACAGACAGTCCCAAAAATACGTGCACAGCCTCTTCAATACTCCACATCTTTATTCCATCAAACAACCAATCCTCTGCTCGACAAACTCACTCAAGATGCTCCTCCAACTGCAGGTTTCATCATGTACTTCTACTACGGCATCAAGCATAGCAGCCTGGAGGAGGGCAGCGCGTCAGAGAATCCAGAGGAGGGTGTCTCAGCAGGGAATATCGAACTAACAGTGACAGCAGACCCTCAGAGGCAGCAGTCGCAACAACTTCAAGCTGCCGAATACGCGACAACGGATCGCAGCATCTACGAAGGCCAGCAATTGGACGCGTTTGGCCAGCCTGTGTTCGGTAGTACGGACTTCGGAGGGACACCTAGCCAGAGGCCAGCAGCCAACAGCAGCAACAACGGCGGACAGTCGTTGTTCGTCACCCAGGACAGCTTCCCCACCTGGGACGACTGAGCGCGCCGTGACGACGATATAAATATATATATTTGAAGATATCAGATAAATTATTAATGCGAGCCTGACCGGCGTCGAGCGTTCACCGGCGTAAATAAACGACCCTTTCGGAGCTCGCGGCGGTATATGGCCTTTGGACTATAGCTGGGGCCAGGAGACACCATGGATTGGCCCTCCCTTTGGCTGTTATCTTGGGATTCTTCAGTTCGACGAGACTGACTTACGGTATTTTCGCTGTCGATACTCTGGCCAGGTCTGTTTCGTTGTGTTTCAGCTTTCGTTGCTTCTGCCATAAGTGATTTGAACCGGGTTAGGTTAGGTTAGGTTCAATCGATCGTGCAATCTCTGGTTGTGACTTTTTCGTTTTTGAAGGTCTTCTTTAGGTGATTGGATGAAATAGATTGTGCTCTTATTTTAAGTGAAACTTTTCATCGTGCCACTTACTTTCTCGAAGAGTCATTTTTTTTTAAAGATTTGTTATCAATAAATTCCCCGAAGCTAGAACTGCTAGGTTACGTTTCTGTTTCTATAGAGAGAAGTTAGGTTAGGTTACGTGATTTCATTTTCATTCTTCGTGCTTTTCTCTCAAGAAAGTCTCTAGAAACTTCGGTTCCCAGATGAGAAGGCGCGTCAGCTTATGATCGACGATCGTGCAGGTGGTGCCGCTTCGAAATTCTGAGCTTCCCTTTACCGATTTCACTTCTCCACATTGAGAAACGTCAATTTCCATACCGTTCTGACCGATCGTCATGCTGAACGCGCCTTTCGAAATCCTGAATCGAAAAGTACGGTGAAAATGGCGGGTGGGTAGGAAGATAGTGGATCCGCGAGTCTCCGATAGAGGGCGAACTTGTTGACTACTGTTTGGGACGAATGTAGCAAATAATTTTTGCGGCAATATTTATTATCCTAGTTGTATAAAAGCGAGTGCGCTAGAGAGAGTGAGCGTGAGAGAGTGAGGGGGAGAGAGAGGTACAGCTGTCAGGGGCGTAACACGAAGGGGGAATATCGACGAAAGTTGAGAAAAATTGAGGTTTGAAACGGAGGTTATTACCATTCTTTGGAGTAAAGCGAAACTTGTGTTTTCCAATGAAAGCATTTTAAGTGCTAAGTGATAAGTTTAATTGTACGATTAGTCGATCGAGAGACAGTGAGAGAGAATTCGTTCCTGAAACGAACTGGAAGTTAGGAAAGATTGGAAAAAAGGATAGAGAATGTCGATGAAAAAGAGATGTACAGGATTTTGTAATAATTCTAGTCTTTTCCAGTCAGAATTTACCGATCATAACCTAAAAAGGGGATTCGCAAGCTTATCTCGTGTTTATTTGTCTCAAGACCTCTGATTGGACGCCATTAAAAATTCCACGAGGCTTTTCAGAGGTAGATTAAATTCTTTGAGCAAAAATGGATCGATTATAATGGGACTGTGGAGGTTAGAAATCCTCGAGGTTACGGAATTCCACGTTCAATGGCGTTCCAATATGGCGTGCACCGTACAAGGTGCATCATGGGAAACGGATATATGTGTTGGTTGTTTCTAACAAATGTAGTTCAATGACGAATGTCCAGTGTTTTGATAACGACAAGTTCCTACAACGATTGTTGACCATGTAATTTGTTATCGTTTATCGAAGCTCCTGCTTTCAATTGTTGCTGATGGAATAATGTTATTAACCGACAATCTTGCATCGATTTGGTTTTTTCCGCGAGGTTAGTCGAGGATACGGAATAGTCTTGATGAATGTAACTTGCTGTTTTGTGTTGAGGAAACTACAAAAATGGACATGAATCGCAATGGTAAGGACAATTATGGAAACGAGAAGATTGGAGGAAATCGAAGTGGTGGAAAGGAGATTATGAGAAGAATAGGGGAAATGGAAATTCAGTTTCATCTCTAGGTGTTTAGATGGAGCGATAGCAGAGTGTCGAGGAAGGGGAGAAGGAAGTGGGAAATGGAAGTGTGGAAAAATTGTGGAAATAGGAAATTAGAAAAAATTGGAAAACTGGAAAATTTTAGGAAATCAGAGAAATTGGAAATCTAGAAAATTCGGAAATTTCGAAATTTTGGAAATTAGAGAAATGGGACATTTGGGAAATTAGAGAAACGGGATGTTCGAGCTGTGAAACGTGAAAATGTAAAATCGTACCGTTAAGACAGCTTACAGGGGACAGCCTGGGAAATTTACGTCTCTCCATTAAATTATTCTATTCTCAGATCTATATATCGATCGGTGATCTTTTCACATATCAGTCTGCACCTTTTTGCAGGGAAGGCAACCGTGAGACTCATGGTAGAGAGAGTGACAGAGGTAGAGAGCGCTAGTGTGTGAGAGAATGTCATTGGAAGAATGGGAGAGATTGATCTAAATATTTATCTTTAAGTATTAATG